AAGAAAAGAAGGTTCAGAGATTAATTTGCCGAAGGCCACATCATTACTAAGTGGAGATGCATAGTCTCAAATCCAGACACTTAAGTTGGGCTCTTGGCCCTTCTCCTCCCCACTGAGGGAACTTCCAGCATACACGGCTCAATATCTTAAACACTCCGAGCAGCAAGTGTTAGGACCCCACTGGGCAAACAGGTCAACTGAGGCCAAGAGGGAAAGGGACTTGCCCAAGGTCACACAGTGAGCCAGGGGCAGCGCCAAAATTCGGACCCTAAGCTTTCGCTTCCCCACCTCCCTTACCGCTTCCCCTCTCCCTCCCGCTTCTCCCCAGAGCTCGGCCTCTGACTTCCACCCCTCGCGGCCGGTTCTGGGGTCGGGCCGCACTCCCGCTTGGGGGAGAAGGGGACGAGGACGTCCGGACTGCCTGAAGATGCCCAGGAGGCAGAGCAGAAGATGCTCCAGCTGCCGGAGCAGCAAAGCCTGTCGGTGGTGCCGCCGCGGGCCTTCAGGGGAAGATCCCTTGCGGCGGGAAGATCGGCCCTGCCCAGCGGCCCTGCGGCTCCACCCCGACTCACCTGCAGCCCGAGCTGAAAGCGGGCGGCGGCGGGGGCGGCGGCGAGCCGTGGGCTCAGCCGTTGGCTCAGCCGTTCCCCGCTGCCCCGGATGGGGAGAGAACGAGGCCGCTCACTTCCTTGGCAACCGGCTCGGCGACCTACTTCCTTAGCAACCAATGTCAATTTCAATAACTTTATTGAGACACGAATGACGGTCATTGACAGTCTGTCAGGCAGGGCAGGGAGGGGCCGGACCCGGCCAGATACTGGTGCTTAGTAGGTACCCAAGACCCTTCGGTCCTTTCACCCATCTAAGAGGGTGTGAGACGAGCGATACACGGTCTGACTCCGCCTGCTAGTATCTCGTGCCTCAGTTTCTCCATCTGTAAAATGTAACGCACTGGCTTTGCTGCGCCCTTTGACCTTTTCTAAAGTGCTTTCATGTCTCAAACTCCCATTTAGAGTCCAACAGACCACTCAACCAAAAATTTAGCAATCATTCCTGTCCCTTCTTTCTCCTTCACATGCCCCTCCCACTCCATTAAGTCATTCACCATGTCTCTTATTTAGACTGTGTATGTGCATGTGTTAGTCGCTCAGTCGTGTCCGACTCGGCGACCCCGTGGACTGTAGCCAGCCAAGCGCCTCTGTCCGTGGAATTCTCCAGGCAGTTCTCCAGGCAAACTCTGGAGTGGGTTGCCATTCCCTTCTCCAGGGGATCTTCCTGACCCAGGGATCAAACCTGGGTCTCCTGCATTGCATGCAGATTCTTTATCGTCTGAACCAGTGCCTCTCAAATATTTCTCCTATCCACCTTTCTCGATCCCCAGTGCCATCACATCAGGCCAGGCGTTGCCCTCATCTCCAGCCTGCCTGGCATAGTTAAGCTCTACTTCTCCTGTGTCCAGCCCTGACCTCCCAATCTATTTTCCACAAGGTGGCCAAAGTGATCGTTTTAAAACATAAAGCAGATCGGGGCACATTATGCTCAATACCATTTAATGGACTTCCACTTCTTTCAAAATCAAGTCCAAAGCCCTTACTACTTCCTACAGAATCAGTAAAACTCCGTTCTAGCCACATTTGCCTCTAAGGCCAGGTTCCCTACCCCCTCCCCCAGGAACTCAACCTGCTGTTACCCACTGCCACATGCTGTTGTATCTACCATACTTGGTCCATAGTAGGCGCTCGATAAATATGCGGGGTCCATACATGCTCAGTCGTGTCCAACTCTTTGTCACCCCATGGACTGTGGTCTTCCAGGCTCCTCTGCTCATGGAACTTTCCAAACAAGAATTCTGGAGAAGGTTGCCATTTCCTACTCTAGGGTATCTTTCCTGACCCAGGGATCAAACCCTTGTCTCAGACGTCTCTTGCATTGGCAAATGGATTCTTTACCACTAGTGCCACCTGGGAATCTCTGAGTACCTGGGATGTTCTTCCCCACCCTACACCCTACCTTTGTCTAGTGTGGCAAATATTGCTACTTGCTCCCCTCACATTATTTTCTGGCTCCTAAACACACAATTAGACAACATTTCCCAACCTTCCCTGTCTCTCAGACCAAGTTCTGGTCAAATGAATATGATGTGCGCCATTCTCAGGCCTAACCCATAAAAAACCTCTCATGTCATTGTTCATACTTCCTCAGCTTTAAAGTGAAGGACTTCAAAGGACTTGAAAGTGAAGGACTCCAAGGCTCTAGGAGATGGCTGAGTTGCAGAATAGGAGGAATCTGGATCAATGAGACATCTCTTAGTAGACAGCTGCCCACACTAGACAAGAATATAAAATTTTACTGGATTCTGCACTGAGACAAGGAGAATTTTTGTTAGAGCAGTTAGCTGGCCCCAACTAAGATACCTAACTCTGAATCATCCTTTGGGTCCTTACTTACTTCCCTTCACATGTTAACCCACCCTACGTGCCTACCCAGCATTATTCAATATAGCTAAGTCAATGAATCATGTTTACGCTATAACTACAAACACTGTTTCTGCTGAACCCAATAATGTGGGTTTATGTTTTATTTCTTCCACACTTTTTCACTTGTTTCCTTTGTAGCTACTGCTATTTTTTTCTATATGTCTTAAACTTCTTTAGAAATTGTGTTTTGAACTTCTGTTAGAAATTGTGTTTAATGGACTGAGCTAATTTTCTCATTGTTTTTCTCTTTCATCCCTCTTTTTGGCTTTTTTTGTTCTACTCTCCAGGAGATTTCCTCAACTTTAGCATCCGTTTCTTCTAAGAAAGGATTCTGGGCTCACCTTTCAGTTATCAATATTATTCACTGCAGACGTTAGATCATAACTTCCTCCTCCTGTTAAAGTCAGTACTTCCCCTCTGTCTCTGTCTGCCGAATGTCTGCCAAAATTTCTGGACCACTAACAGACATTAGTCTATTCATATTGTGGGCTGATACGTTTTTTATTTCTTACTGTCATATAAGCAGGAGTCAAGGAGGAAAAAAAATCAATCAATACTACATGTTTATATTTATAATTAAAAAAACCAGGTACATAAGAAGTATAAATAGTTAGTTCAGAGAAAGGGTATAGAAAACATGGCTTTCAAATATAAAAAGATGCTCCACTCACTCATACTAAAGGAAATGAAAATTGAAATAACATTGAGATTTTTTTTCACTTATCAGAAAGAAAAAAACTTTGGTAAGGTCCTATTGATGAGAGCCTGGTCTTGCTTCTGTCCTTATCAAGCTATATAAAACTGTGTAGAAAAACAGCATTAGTAATAATAGTACTAAAGTGTAGGGTGATCACCTCATCCTTGTTTGCACAGAACTTTTCCTGTTTGCTATCAGTCAAAAGTCCCATCTCCAGGGGAATTCCCTGCCAGTCCAGTGGTTAGGATTCTGAGCTTTCGCTGCCAAGGACGTGGGTTCAATCCCACGTCAGTGAACTAAGATCCCATAAACCACACAGCATGGGGGGAAAAAAGTCCCATCTCCCAAGAAAACTCTCAGCTGGGCAAACCAGGGTGGTTATTCACCCTAGTATGGTGGGGTACTAGTTTGATATATTACTTAGTATGTTTCCATTTGCTTTCACACTGTGACCCCTTTTCCATCCAACTTAGACTTTGAGACAATTATTGCTCAAGAAAGAGTTGCTTCAGCAGAAAAATAGGGAAAGGATGTTCTGAATTCTAAAGTCCTGGAGAGAGGACTCATGGCATGGAAGAAGTCATTACAAGTCAGAGCAGGGCTCCCAAGCGCCCAGTTCTGGAGACTTGGTACATTTGAGGGAGAAGAGAGAGGATGAGAATGCAACAGCAGGGCAAGAGGCCAGCGGGGCCGAGACGAGTGGGTCCTGATGTGGAGATATCACGTGGACCAAAGCAGAGACCCCTCCGCTCCAGCCCCCCCTCCCCGCCCCCAGAGCAAACTCTAGCCTAGAAACGATCTGGTCTAATTCCAGTGAACGCCATTGTGTCAGTTCATTTTAAGCAATAGTAACCAACTCTGGCTGATGAAAAGCAGAAACACAATTCATTAAATAAGAAGTTCAAGGACTTCCCTCACAGTCCAGTAGCCAACACCCCGCACTCCCCAAGCAGGAGGCACAGGATCAATCCCTGGTCAGGGAACTAGATCCCACATGCCACAGCTATGAGTTCACAAGTCATGACTAAAACCTAGAACAAACAAACAAATAAATAAAAATAATTTAAAAAAAAAAACAAGAGTTCAAAACTCATCAGAAAACTTCTAGAAGTGGGCAGGAATGACAAGATCAGGCCATGTGACACCATATACTATGGAGTCAGTCTGGTGAGGACATTAGGTACCCAACTTTCACCACAGATATCTGGCCATGGGCACTATCTCAACATCATTCTCATCTACCCTGCTCATGAGGTTTGCTGGCAGTCTCAGCATCTTTGTAACCCAAGCTCTGATTGGTTGTGTCTGACTCACACGCCCATCTGATACCTGCAGTGGAAACTATAAAGGCAAATATCTGGCTTTTGGCTTCTATGGTGGGAGAAGACTGCCTTCATTTACAAAATGAGAATTCCTTGAATATAAGATAGGGATTCTGTTGTTGTTCAATTCCTCAGTTGTGTCTGACTCTTTGCAACCCCGTGGACTGCAGCACACCAGGCTTCCCTGTCCTTCACCATCTCCCAGTTTGCTCAAACTCATGTCCATTGACTCAGTGATGCCATCCAGCCATCTCATCCTCTGTTGCCCCCTTCTCCTTCCATTCTTAGGCAAGAAAAAATCCAGTTATAACCATACATCTCTCTACCAAAGATGTCCATCAGTCCTCCTCCTCACTGTCACTCAGAGATACCGTCACTCTCTCCAGCAGCCTCCATGCACCCAGTGGCCACCGAGCTGGAATGAAGCCCAGTGTGTTGTGAAACTTTGCTCAGTCCCCATCTGATTTGTCCTGTGAAGACATCTCATTTTAATGGCCAGGAGCATCATGAATCCCCTGTGACAGAGGAGGGCACTGGGTACCTAGGGGTTGGGGGCAGAAGGGGTATGAGGACACAGATCCGTGGGCACCTGTCCCAGGTGGAAATGAGTGTAGCCAGCTTGCAGTCTCCTCCCAAATCAGGAGAAAGACAAAACACAGCCCAGAAACCCATGGATAATTTTATTTTGATCTCACCTAGGGAAGATAACTTCTGATAGACTCCATACAGGGTTGACAAATGGCAGATGGCTGGCTCCGCATTGCAAGAGTAAAAATCACCAAATTTCCTTTCTTTTCTTGACATTCTAGAGCAGTGCTATCCAACAGATCTTTCCACAGTGGTGGAAAAATTCTATATTTGATGGTGTCCGATACAGCCACCAGCCATGTATGGCTATTGAGTGAGATGTGCCCAGTACTACTGAGGAATTGAATTTTATTTATTCAACTTGAATTAATTTAAGTTTATATGTCCAGGAGTGGGTAGCAGCTACCATATTGGCTAGCACAACTCTGAGATATAAAAAATGACAAGCATGACTGTGCGGTCCAAATAACCTTGGGTTTGAATCCCAGTTCCACCTCCACCAGATAGCTGAGTGTCCCAGTACAAGTCACATTATCTCTCTGGCACTGTCTCCTCATCTGAAAAACGGGGCTATTAATGCCACTGCTCAGGTTTATTGTGAGGATAATGGACATACGGAACGGAACAGTGCTTGACACTTAGCAGGTGCTCCAAAAAATGGTGACTCTCTTTCTCTCTTTTATTGACTGAGGGTCATGGCTTCCTCCAGGCAAACAATTGTTGCAGTGTAAGGAGTCCTGCCAGTTACAGAGTTTAGTCTTCTTGGAAATTTCATACCAATTAGGGAAGAGGGTTGGAAAGGGATGGTGTAAAAAGACGGAGAAGGTAAGTGAAATAAGTCAAGCCGAAAAAAATAAATATCATATAACCTTACTTCTGTGTGGATTCTAAAACAAATAAGCAACAAAACAAAAACCAAGCTCATGGATATAGAGAACAGATTGGTGGTTGCCTGAGGCAGGGGGTGAGGGTTGGTGAAGTAGGTGAAGGGGGTTAAAAGGTACAAATTTCCAATTATGAAATGAATGCAATGGTGATGTAATGTATAGCACAGTGACTGGAGTTAGTAATTCTGTATTGCACATTTGAAAGAACCTAGGAAACTGGGTCTGGAAAGTTCTCATCACAAGAAAAAAATTGTTGTGACTGTGTGGTGACAGATGTTAACTGGGCTTACTGTGGTGATCATTTTGCAACACATATATACAAATATGGAATCGTCACATTGCACACCTGAAATTAACACAATGTCATGTCAATGGGGAAATAAAGAGTGCAAAGAGAATGATCTATGAGAATGAGAAGAGGTGGCATCCCAGCGCCCCTTTCAGGAAGAAACAAGATGCTGGGTTTGGACAGAGACCAAGCACCTGAGACATACCTGATGGTCCTCGCTTGGCTAAGCGCCCAGCTTCAGTATGGCCGAGACGCTGGGATCTGAAAGAGGCTCTAAGGGCTGGGAATCAAGCTAATGTCTTTTAAATTCACATCTTGATGTTTTCTGAAGAAAGCCAGACAGAAGTTGGCCAGTAATGCTTCCTCCTCAGGCACTTAACTGGCTATACGACCTTGGGCAAGTTTGTTCACCTTCTGGACCTTGTTTCTCTAAGTGCCTCCTGCAAGGTTGCCTTGAGAATTCACCCAGAGAATGGGAGGGAAACTGCTTTTCCAACTGTCAGTCACCATAAATGGTAGAAAATGAAAAAAAAAAAAACAAACGGTGATGTTTAAAATTTCAGAGCCAGGAGGACGTTGTGAAAGCCTGATGACAGAACTAGAACTAGAATCGATGTCCCAGGACAGGGTTTTGTCTTGTTTCTCATCCTCTGGCACAACACAGGTATTTAAAAGCAAATATTATCACCATTCACCTTTAAATTGGCAGATTTTAAAGCATAATACTCGGTGTTGGCAAGAAAGGAGAGAAGAGAACTTGCACCCCACTGCAGATGGGATGAAATTGGCACAAATTGTAAGGAAAATTAACAAGATGACTAAGAACCATTTGAGTCAGCCCATACCACTTCTAGGAATCAATTCCAAGAAAATATTGAAAGATGCTCCTAAAGATTTAGATATAAGCGTGTTAATCCCAGCTTCATTTACACTTATTATGTCCAATGTTCACTTCACTTCACTCACTTATTATGTCCAACATTAGGGGAATGGATAGGTAAACTTAATTATTGATATGTCAGTAACAGGGAATGTAAAGTTGCCATTGAAAATACTTTTTGAAGAGCATCAAATGATATGTAGGAATGCTCCAGAAAATATAATGAGGGGGAGTGTAGGGTATGTATATCCATCAGGAAAACTTTTAATGTCCCTTGGTGGTCATCAAGAGACATTCTCTTAGGCAATCAACAGAATGAAAAAGAAAACCTACAGAAAATATTTGCAAATCATATATCTGATAAGGGGTTAATGTTCAGAACTAAAGAATTCCTACAACTCAACAATAAAAAACAAATAACTCAATTAAAAACTAGGCAAAGGCTTGATATTTCCTTGAAAAGGGTATATAAATGACCAACAGACATGTGAAAAGATGCTCAAAAGATGCTCAAAATCAATCATTAGCAAAACACAAATCAAACCATAAATTAAGGGCTATAACAAGTGTTGGCAAAGATATAGAGAAATTGGATCCTTATGCTATGTTGGTGGAAATGTAAAACGGTGCACTTGCTGTGGAACTCAGCATTGAGTTCCTCAAAAAATTAAAAATAGAATTAACATACAATTAATCCAGCAATTTCACTTCTAGATATTCACCCAAAAGAACTAAAAGCAGGGTCCCAAAGAAGTATTTGCACACTCCATGTTCTTGGCAGCATTGTTCATGATAGTCAAAATGTAGAAGCAACCCAGGTGTCCATGGATGGATGAATGGATAAATAAAATATAGTATAAAATCACGATGGCATATTATTTAGCCTGTAAAAGGAAGGAAATTCTGATACGAGCTATAACATGGATGAACCCTGAGGACATTATGCTAAGTGAAGTCAGTCAGTCACAAAAAGATAACAACTATATGATTTCACTTACATGAGGTATATGCTGCTGCTAAGTCACTTCAGTCGTGTCCGACTCTGTGTGACCCCATAGATGGCAGCCCACCCGGCTCCTCTGTCCTTGGGATTCTCCAGGCAAGAATACTGGAGGGGGTTTCCATTTCCTTCTCCAATGCATGCATGCATGCTAAATCGCATCAGTCAGGTCCGACTCTGTGCGACCCCTTAGACGGAAGCCCACCAGGCTCCTCTGTCCATGGAATTCTCCAGGCAATAACACTGGAGTGGGTTGCCATTTCCTTCTCCCACATGAGGTACATAAAGTAGTCTAAAACCAAAAAAAAAAAAAAGTAGTCTAAAATCATAGAATGGTGGCTGTCAGGAGCTGGTGGGGGGATGGGGAGTTGTTGTTTAATGGGCACAGAGTTTCATTTTCCAAAGATGAAGCATTCTAGAGACAGGCTGCACAATGACCAGAATGTACTTATCACTACTTAACTGGATACTTAAAACGGTTAAGAGGGTACATGTGTGTTTTAGTCGCTCAATCGTGTCGGACTCTGCAACCCGATGGACTGTAGCCGGCCAGGCTCCTCTGTCCATAGAATTCTCCAGGCAAGACTACTGGAGTGGATTGCCATTTCCTTCTCCAGGGGATCTTCCCAAGCCAGGGATTGAACCCAGGTCTTCCGTACTGCAGGCAGATTCTTTACTGTGTGAGCTAGCAGGGAATAATAATAAGAGGGTAAATATTATGCATATTTAAACCACAAGTTTTTTTAAAAAAGAGTAGCTTTTAGCTCTTTTCATCCTATTCTACCTCCATACCACACAAGTTGTTTTCTTGTCCTTGAACTTGTCACTTTGTTGCAAGGTGGCAGCTCCAGACATTAGATGCTCACAGCAGCATCTTAGGTGGGAAGAAGCAGAGATGGAGGCTTCATCTCAGTGATGCTGTCTTTCCATCCAGGCAAGGTGAGGCAGCAAACTCACCACTCATGTTTCCTGGCCAGAAGTGGGCCACATGCACACCTCCAGTGATGTTCAGCATCTGTGCTGCCCAATACTATAGCCACAATCATATATGTTAAATATTCAGTTCAGTTCAGTTTAGTTGCTCAGTTGTGTCCAACTCTCTGCGACCCCATGAACTGCAGCACGCCAGGCCTCCCTGTCCATCATGAACTCCCAGAATCCACCCAAAACCATGTCCATTGAGTCGATGATGCCATCCAACTATCCCATCCTCTGTCATCCCCTTCTCCTCCTGCCCCCAATCCCTCCCAGCATCAGGGTCTTTTCAAATGAGTCAGCCCTTCGCATCAGGTGGACAAAGTATTGGAGTATCAGCTTCAGCATCAGTCCTTCCAATGAACACCCAGGACTGATCTCCTTTAGGATGGACTGGTTGGATCTCCTTGCAGTCCAAGGAACTCTCAAGAGTCTTCTCCAACATCACAGTTCAAAAGCATCAATTCTTCAGCTCTCAGCTTTCTTTGTAGTCCAACTCTCACATCCATACATGACCACTGGAAAAACCATAGCCTTGACTAGACGGACCTTTGTGGACAAAGTAATGTCTGCTTTTCAATATGCTGTCTAGGTTGGTCATAACTTTCCTTCCAAGGAGTAAGCATCTTTTAATTTCATGGCTGCAATCACCATCTGCAGTGATTTTGGAGCCCAGAAAAATAAAGTCAGCCACTCTTTCCCCATCTATTTGCCATGAAGTGATAGAAACAGATGCCATGATCTTAGTTTTCTGAATGTTGAGCTTTAAGCCAACTTTTTCACTCTCCTCTTTCACTTTCATCAAGAGGCTCTTTAGTTCTTCTTCACTTTCTGCCATAAGGGTGGTGTCATCTGCATATCTGAGGTTATTGATATTTCTCCCGGCAATCTTGATTCCAGCTTGTGCTTCCTCCAGCCCAGCGTTCCTCATGATGTACTCTGCATATAAGTTAAATAAGCAGGGTGACAATATACAGCCTTCATGTTCTCCTTTTCCTATTTGGAACCAGTCTGTTGTTCCATGTCTAGTTCTAACTGTTGCTTCCTGACCTACATACAGGTTTCTCAAGAGGCAGGTCAGGTGGTCTGATATTCCCATCTCTTTCAGAATTTTCCACTGTTAAATATTATTTCATTTTAATTAGTTGAATTTTAAAACCACATGTGGAAAAAAAAACACATGTG